AGTTTGCGAAGGTGGAGGCGCGGTGAGAGTTTGCGAAGGTGGAGGCGCGGTGAGAGTTTGCGAAGGTGGAGGCGCGGTGAGAGTTTGCGAAGGTGTCAGCGATTGGCATTTTCTGCGAATGAGACGCGAGGGTTCGAACCCTGATGTGGAATCATGGCGGTCAACGATGAGGAGAGAATAAGCGGAGTAGGTGCATATCTGACTCAGGATGGAAGAATGCCACGTATCAATCGCACGAACATGAGCGCCACGTCCAGCAGAACTGCGTTCCGGTCAAACTCGCTGTCGAAGTCGAGCTTCTCGACAAAGTTTTTGACTTCTGGCTACGATCGGGGTTGCAACAATGCCGTTCTCGCTCCCGATCCCAACGAAGCCGATGACGAGGCGGAAATCCTGGAAAAGGACGGAGATGCCATATTGGCCACGACGAAGGTTTTGTCAATCCTCGAAAAGGACGGCCAATATTATATTCCCAATGCTGCCCTTTCCGACGGCAAAGGGGTCGGAGATGCATTTTTAAAGAGGATGATGATGATAGTGCTGCCCATGACTTGGAAAAGGTCGGCAACGACCGGGCCGCTAGGGCGAGGGCGACGGCCATTCCCGAGGAGGATGGCTATGGCGATGACGCCTCCGAGCGTGATGATAGTGATGATGATGCTTATGACGCTCATGATAGGGGTTGGGGAAGGATACATTGCGAGCTGAAAATGTGCGTGGTGGATGGGGGAGAAAGCGCAGATTCTATCTCAGTAAACCCGACGGACACAGCAGAAGCTAGTGTACCTCCGAAGCACAGACATCTTCTGTTCGAGGGGTATTCTCCTCATCCTCCTCGCCCTCTTCCTCGTTCCCAGTTTATCGTGAGAATGGGGGTCTCTGATGATCTTAGTGGTTTTGACGACCAGTGGTCTACAGCAATCGACGACATGCCCGATGTCCAGAAAAGGCAGCAGCAGCAGCAGGAGGAGGGAGAGGCGCAGCAGGAGGAGGAAGAGGGAGAGGCGCAGCGGCAGGAGATGGGACAGGCCCAGCAGCAGCAGCAGGAGAAGGGACAGGCCCAGCAGCAGCATCAGCAGGAGGAGGAGGAGGAGGAGGCGGAGAGCTTGGCCAGTCATTCCCGTGATTATTACGATTCGTTCATGTTGACGTCAAAGAGAAAAAAACCTGGCTTAGCAAAAGCCGATCGGAAGCGCAAGACGGGTCCGTTTTCACGAGCTGTATCGTCATCGTCAGTTTCTTCTTTGTCGGCAATCCAGCATGATATTGCTCCAACATATCAGACCGGTGAGCATCGTGATGATGCCCACGTTTTGGGGAGAGCAGACGGTAACTCCATGGGAAAATATCACCGGCGACGTCAACGACTATCTGTCAAAGGGAGACCTCCTCCTGCGCATCGGCTGCTTGCGGGAAGTCAAAATGAGAAGTCCACCATAGGGAACAAGTCGTCGACCTCGACTCTGCCAACCATGAAATGCGGAAAGAAGATCGTAGTCACCTTGGTTGTGCCGAGTGGGCAGGTAAGCCGCTTGGTTCTCGCCCTTGAGCGTCATCCCCTCTTCCGTCGTCTTCCTGGATGCGTGCGTGCGTGCGTGTGCGTGTGCGTGTGCGTGTGTGTGTGTGTGTGTGTGTGTGTGTGAGAGAGAGAGAGAGAGAGAGAGAGAGGACATGGTCCCCGCTCGCTCACTGAGCCTCACGCCCATGGTCACGACTTGTCGGCCCCGTGCAGTGTGTAACTCTGTGTGTGTGTGTGTGTGTGTGTGTGTGTTTGTCGTGTTCGCTGTACACAATACCACAAAAAAAGCATGACTGTGCCAGACTGTTCCGTCGACTGATGACGAGAATGAGTGGGTGAAAGACCGACGAAACAGTCTGGTGTGTGTTTGTGAGAAAGTGCGACTAACCTTCGGGGGTTCGTGTGAGTCAACCATTTCTCTCTAGCGTATTGTTAACTGCTAGCGAGATGGTGTGAACGCATACATTAGGCAAATGCATCGGGGATAATCTCTCGAGGATCAACGGCCTAGTTAGTCGATGCAAAACGTCCGAGAAAGTGGTTTGTCACAGTCGTGCTTTTTTCTGCGGAGTTGTAACCGGAGCCTGATCCCAGACATGCACACGCACACTCACATGCACACGCACACTCACATGCACACGCACACACGGACTCCTAATGGGTCGATGCACGTCCTAGAAAGTAGTCTGTCAGGGTCATGCATTTTTCTTGGGAGTCAGCGGATAATTGTTGTGGCATAGAGACGCACGTCATGAGTACGACTGTGACAGTCCCAGTATGAGTGGAACTGTCTTGTTCTTTGGCAAAGAGATGCACGTCAAAAGGCTCTCGTCTTTTAGTAGTCCGGTACCGGGCCGTCCCTGTCAGTGTATGGGCTCTCTCTCTCTCTCTCTCTCTCTCTCTCTCTCTCTCTCTCTCTCTCTCTCTCGGGCACTACCTAAGATAGCTCTAATACATTCGTTAACAGGATGCATTGTGCTCTGGGGTCGACGGTGGTAGTGTGCGGCTCCCTCCCTCCCTCCCTCTCTCTCTCTCTCTCTCTCTCTCTCTCTCTCTCTCTCTCTCTCTCTCTCTCTCTCTCTCTCTCTTTTCCCC